AGAGATTCCGCTAATCTATAAATTTTTAATGTTATAGCTCTACCTTTGGGAATGGTATAGAGTGTTCAGCAGCTGTGGTGCTTGTTAGCTTGTCACCTGACAATTTAAATATATTTACAAATTCTGTACAAATTTGTCTAATGTCTCTAGCTCCTTCAGTTATATGTTGCAATCTTAAATTTTCATGCAACAACTGTATTCTTTGTGGTGTAAATAAGTGTGCCTGTGCTTCCTCACTTTATTCATTTGGGTAGGAGGTTTCTTCAATGCCGGTGCTGTTTGTACCACTAAAGTTTCGTGCATTACATTTACCAAAAGGCAAGGGAATGTGGTATCACATTCTGTTAAACTAGCGGCACATATCAAACCTGGTTGCAATAATTGTTGTTCAATATACCTAACTCCTTTTTCCTTCGTGGGAAATTGAACTATGTCTCGCTATATGGAGGTACTATGATATTTTTTGTCAACATATAATCATTTTCCAAAAGCCAATCTTGTCCTAATATTATATCAACATGTCTAGGCAATTGCTTGACTACGTAATATTCTGATTTTATTGGTTTAGTGCAATTATTCAGTGTTAAAGTAACTTTACCTTTAATTTTAACTATATTTCCACTAATGCCTTGTATTTCCATATCGCTTTCGCTTTGGGCAATGTTGCTAACTATTGAAGTTTCCTGAACTAGAGATACTTGTGCCCCTGTATCTACTAGCGCTATACCAATGCCTCCTTTCAGCTGTGGACATATGATGTAAATCTCATATGACCCCAAAATGTGTTCAATTTCCAAGTTTTAGTGATTTCCCATCAACTAAATTAACCTTTTGTGACTCCATGTCATTAACCCTATAATCCATATGTAATGACTCCTTGTCATTAACCCTATCACAGCTTAAACTTCGGACTGTCCTCAGCCTTGGCAACGATAACAATGAGTCCCTCTTTACACTTGCTGATTATTTTCCAAATCATCATTTTCATCTGCCATTATGGTTGGACTAACCTATTATAGGTGTAGGGTGATTGAAGATGCACAGTTCGTTCTTCCAGTGATGGCTTCTCAGCTCCCCTCAGGGTAGAAGTCCCTCTCGCGGTGCAGGCTGCCAACGGCTATCACCAAAGACGTCCCTCGGGCTAATCTAGGGCTGCTGATGATGGCCTCCAATCACGGACTTGGCTTCAACAGTTGGTGAACAGGTACCACGGCGCCTTGTGGATTCCTCCGGAGCATTGTTCCCTCAGGAAAGGCTTGGTCCACCTCAGTACAGACTCAAAGTCCCTCCGGCCTGCTCAACAGCCGAAAATTCTGGAAGTCCGTAAAGTAGCTCTCCTCTATCCCACTGCTGCCACCATGAGATTTCAATTAATTATTCAACTGTGTATGTTGATCGTTGAATAATTCTTTTAAGCGGGATAATTGTAGGTATGGAGCAGAGCTAAGTCCGGCTCAAGGAGAATTAGAGGTATCTTTTCAACTTCTGCACATGGTGGTAAAACATGAGAGTTGAACAAAGACACCCAGTTCGTATTCTTTGGTAACAACTCCAAGCGTTCCAGGCATGTATGCATTTTTAGGACAAGCAGCCTTGTTCCCCTCGATTATTCATAACCCAAGAATTGAGCCACACAATGCTACCATACAATAAAATTTACACTTTTAATTTCACTTTCTTAGGTCTCTTATTACAGATGTGACACATTCAACAGACACACGTGAGTCATCCAGATTAATTTTCTACAATTTTATAAAACAAGACTGGTGCTACAGCTTGTCTAAACCATTGTATTTGTAAAAATTATTTTTGGGCAACTGGTACAGTTCCTCAAATTATCAGTTTTACTAATATAAATAAAATTAATTTCAGGTTTCTGACACTGTTGTTGAGCCATACAATGCTACACTATCTGTCCACAAGCTTGCTGAAAATCCTGATGAAACATTCTGTTTGATAATGAAGCTCTTTGTATGACATTTGCTTCAGAACACTTAAAATAACAACACCAACATACGGTGATTTAAATCATCTTGTATCAGCTACACGTTCTAGAGTCATTACTTGCTTCAGATTCCCAGGTCACTTAAATGTTGATTTACGTAAACTTGCTGTCAACATGGTTCCATTCCCACGTCTCCACTTCTTCATGCCTGGTTTTGCTCCTCTCACCTCCCGCGACAGCCAATAATATGAACACTGAAGAATGTGAGTAAAAAATTGAAAAGTAATATGAGTACTAGATAAAAAGATAATTCATACTGTAGCTGCAGACAAAACAACAATAAATGTGAACTTTGGTGTTCTCTATGCTTCCTTCTTGCTTTTCTTTATCAAATTCTCCTCCAATTTCTTCAGCAGTTGCTACCTGGTACTGCTGATTCTCAGAAATCAAATCATACATGTTGGATTCCGCTCCTGTGAACTCCATGTCTTCCATGCCCTCACCTGTTTACCAGTGAAGGTGTGTTTTATGTCTGAACATGACTGTGAACTGCTCAGAAACGCATCTGAACAGCTCTTGGATGGCAGTGGAGTTGCCAATGAAAGTGGCTGATCTTTTTTGTCCTGTAGGAGGAATGTTACACACAACAGCCTTCACATTATTTGGGAGCCAATCTACAAAGTAGCTGCTGTTTTTATTCTGCACTTGTAGCATATGTTCATCAACCTCCTTCATGGATATAAGTCCTCGGAATATAACAGTGACAGTGAGGTAACAGCTGTTCTAAGGATCACAGGCAGCCATCATGTTCCTTACATCAAATATCTGTTTGGTGACTTCTGATACCATGAGAACTCGGTACTGTATAGATTTTACACTATTAGATTTATATTTATTGTATTCCCATGTAGTTCCTAATATATTTATGTAGACATAAACTAAACATTGCAAGTATTATCCTTGAAAAGAAAGTGCTTAAAACAATGTTAACATTGAACAATGTGAGTAAATAATTGAAAAGTAATATTAGTACTAGACGAGAAGATAATTCCTACTATCGCTGTAGACAAAACAACAATAAATGTGAACTTTGGTATTCTCTATGCTTCCTCCTCAACTCCTTCCTCATCCATTTCTTCCCCCATTTGTCGAGCAGTTGCTTCCTGACAGTCCTGGTACTCAGAAATTAAATCACTTATGTCTGAATCAGCTTCTTCGAAATCGTCTTCACTCATACCCGCATCAAAGTACCACTGAACGTATGATTTACGTATAAACATAGTTATGAACTTGTCAGGAACGCGTCTGAACAGCTCTTGGACGGCAGTGGAGTTGCCAATGAAAATAGCCAACATCTTTAGTCCTCTAGGAAGAATGCCACAGATAGCATTCATCACATTGTTTGGGATCCACTCTGCAAAGTAGCTCTGATTTTATTCTGCACTTGTAACATATGTTCATCAGCCTCCCTCATGGACATGAGCCCTCGTAATACAACAGCGACGGTGTTGTAACATCCACTCCTCAGACCCCTGGCATCCATCATGTTCCTCACATCGAATGTCTGTAGGGTGGGTTCTGATACCGTGAGAACTTGGTACTGTTGAATCTAACACTGTTCAGGATTGAAAGCTAAAGGACAGCGCACGCCATCTCTGAACTAATATCTGATCCATCATCCTTTTTGTACCCATGATTCTGTGTTAATAAACATGTGTGTGTGATTGCAAATGATTAGTTCAGTTTAATCCTCAACATTTTGGTGCCGAAACCCGGGACAAGAAGCGGATGAAGTAGAGCCATTCAGTCACTTCAAGACACGTAAACTATCTATAGAAGATTTTGCAGTGCTTTTAGAATATTTTCAAGTTGAAGAACGCAAGTAAACATTGGAAGTTGGGTGTTTGATTATCTTCACTACTCGCCACGGATTCACGCCGTCACATAGTACTCCGAACACGGCAGGTAAGTAACTAAGCAATATTTATCAGTATTTTGAGATTAAGGAGGAATATTGAAGTAATTGCATGTTTGTGAAAGAGATATCAAGAGATTTAAAGTGGATGGCATTGTCGCATATCGGCTTTAACCTACAAGAGTGCTTGTGTTATAATCGCCATTTGTTCTCGTTCCTGCTTCACACGGAGCCATCTAGCGAGGATTCAACGAAGGATTCAGATATTCTTCCAACGACTCGATCAGTATTACAGAGAACAGCGAATAACTCAAAAGGTTAAAGCATAAACGTACAACACAGCGCTCCAATGTTACGCGTTTTACAAATCTGATAAATGGATTGAATGACTCCACAGCAGTTGACGATCTCGAGCACTATTTGGATCGCCTTCAGGAATCCTTGATATGTTTAACTAATCTAATGATTCCATTCACGACCTACTCGATGATGAATATGAAACGGACGTCCGAACTTGTGACGAATACATAGTCATTTCAAAACACGCGATCCGGAAAACTGATAATCTTATCAGGGGGAAACGTGAAGATGTTAAACCGCCTATTGTTAGTTTACTACTGGTTGCACACAACCCACGGTTGCTCAAGAAATTGCCCACCTTTTCAGGAGATATAGAAACATGACCGAGGTTTTGGGAACAATTTGAATCTTCCATTGACAGAAACCCATCAGTCTCAAACATCAATAAACACGTTTTCCTGCGTGGGTATCTAGAAGGAGAACCAAGACGATTAGTCGATGGAATAGCCGTAACAGGAGAAACATACCAACAGACGAAGAAAAGTCTACAGGCTTGCTACGGCGACAAGAACCGGGTTATCCAAGCTCATTTAGATTATTCAGAAGACTTAAAACCCGCTCAATCTGATATTCCTGATGCGTTTAATACTGTATACATTGAATGTCATCGTAGGTTTCAAGCACTCAGATCTTTGGGGGAGAATATGGATGTCTACGGACGAGTGTTAGCACCAAACTTCCTGCGCGCAGTCCCGGACGGTATCTGCCCACGCTGGCTCATCCATGCTAAGAGGGAAAATATTCCAGAAGGTAACATCACGCAACTGATTGTGTTCCTGAATGAAGCGGTTGAAGGAGCCCTCAATACTCTGAAGATACGGGGTGATTCTTCTCCAACAGTTACTTATACTTATAACGAAAATTTTAACTCTGCATCAGGGCATTACAGACATAACGAGTCACTGAGGGCCACATACGGTAACTTGTACATCCATTTATTTATTCGTTGGGAGCTGCAGCGTTGAAATATCGACACATTTATGTCCCGAGTTCATGAGGGTAATTTTAAAATTACTCTCAAATGTTGCATGACGAATCACATATGCCCTACTGATAGATTTACAGCTATTTATAACATTTCAGGTGGGTTAACGTCGCCTAGAACGCCCGTGTCGGAGCCCTTGTCTTTGACTGAGTCGATGCAGTTGTTAGACGAGATACTTTCTGATGGACGAATGGAAAGGCTTGACAAAATTGAGCGGCTGGAAGCAGTTCTCTCCGTGATCACGTCTCCACCGGCTGAAAGTGGTGGAACAGAGAGTGTTCTTCCATGTTGTTTGTGTCGGTGTCACGCTAATGCTAGTCTGTGCGACCAGCAGGGTACTGCAGGTTCAAAGGCACGAGGTCAGTAGATTTGCTTATCTAACTTTCATCAAGATTAGGTTCTTCAAATCATTTGATCGTAATTTTTGTGTGTTGTGTTTTTCAGATTAAATTAAGAGCATTAGTTGCAATTAGCATTAGCTTCAATAGAGCTAGGGTGAAGGATAAGCTGAGTTACTTTTTTGGGGATCAATTAATTCCAGAGGCAAATAGCTTTAAGTACTTAGGAATACTTATTCGCAGTGATCTGAGCTGGGCAGATCATGTGAATTATACACTAATTAAAGCATGGAAGGCTCTCCATTTCGTAATGCGTATACTAAAAAAGGGAAATAACAATACGAAACGTTTAGCTTATACGTCGCTAGTGAGACCGATACTTGAATATGGAGCTGTGTGTTGGGACCCTTACAGGGAAGGACAGGTAAGAGCCCTAAATCGGGTGCAGAAGAGAGCGGCTAAATTTGCAAATTTCACGAACGAATCTGGTTGGGAAACATTGGCACAGCGTAGATTGATAGCCCGAATGTGCGCCCTTTTCAAAGCATACACGGGGGGCCGGGCTTGGAAAACGATAGGGGATAGATTACTAAAGCCATGCTATCTGGGCAGGGACGATCATACTCGGAAAATTAGGACTAGGAAACAAACAACGGATGTAGGCAAATATTCATTTGTAAATAAGACCATAAGAAGCTGGAACCAATTACCCCCAGGCTTGCTAGAGTCTTTCCCCTGTAAATTAGGCACCTTTAGAAAGAGGGTCAGAAAAGTAGTTACAAGCAAGGGGTTATTATGTGGGGATTAGATGGTGATAAGGGAATTGTCTTAGTCTCCAAGTGATGAAGGGCTGTAGTTCTTTGGGATAAAATTTTCATGTACTGAGGGCGAACTTTATATTCTACTCTAAGTATTGTGATTAATTAGTGGATGTGTGTTTTTGTATTGTGTGTCAGTTGTTTTATTTTGAGTGTGGTGTGTTGTATTGTTGTGTCTCATTGTTTTGTTGTGAGTGCATCAGTTCATGTAATTCATTACTGTTATTGTCTTATGTCTAGTTGGTATTAATTTTTAAGTTAAGTACTTTAGGTTATATGGTTTTGTAATCTTATGAGTTGTTTTATTTTGAGTGTGATGTGTTGTTTTGTTGTGTCTTATTGTTTTTGTTCTGTCTCATTGTTTTTTGTGTCTTATTGTTTTGTTCTGTCTCATTGTTTTGTTGTGTCTTATTGTAGGACCACTGCCACAGGGTAAAAACCATTTGCAGTCAATAATGAATAATATATGCCTACAGCAGCCGCTCAAGTAAACACAAAGGTTGACAAACCAAAAAGAAAGACTAAGCAGGTGCCGGAACCATACTGTGCCTTCTATGAGACTAGAGGCCACTGGGCTCAGGATTGTCAACAACTAATAAATGTACAAGATAGAATAGACAAACTAAAGGCTGCCAATAGTCCTGGCAGATTCTAAGACTCGCCAATACCTCGCACATCACGGCATGACATGGAAATTTATTGCGCAGAGGGCGGCTTGGTGGGGAAGATGGTGGGACATAATGATTGGCTCCACCAAGCGCTGTTTGAGGAAAGTGCTAGGACGTACGCAGGTCGACGAAGAAGGGCTGAACACGATTTTAATCAGCATTGAAGCCGCCCTTAATTCGCGACCAATTGCACAAGATGGAGACGACATTGAGACCTTGACACCATCTCATTTTCTTAATGGTAAAAAACTAACAATAATCCCGTGTGGACCAGAGAGAGCCATGAAGAAGAGTCTGAACAAAGAATTTCGGTTAAAACAAAAAAATACCGAGGACTTTTGGCGGAGATGGAAAAGCGAGTACCTTCTGCAGCTGCGGAACTACCACGAAGTGAAACAACCATATGGTAAACATCCTAAATTCAGAGTAGAAGATATCGTTCTTCTTCAAGAAGATATTCGGCCAAGGCATATGTAGAAGAGAGCCCTGATTGAGAAGTGCACCAAGGAAGGGACTCCAAGATAAGGGCAGTCATCCTTCGCAAGCCAGAGGGAACTAGGATCAGTCGCCCGGTGCAGCTGGTCATTTCCTTGGAAATAAGAGTCTAGGTCACTTTAATCCACAACACACACAATTATATTTATATTTATTGTATTCCCATGTAGTTCTTAAATACTTATGTAGACATAAGCTAGTCCTCTAAAAGTACTGGAGAGCGCTAAGAAATGCCATTTGACGGTCTTAGGCTCGAGGAAGGGAAAATCCCCATCTGCACCTCCCCGTGGTAGAGGACGGGCAACGTCAATAGGCGGCTGACGTGGAGGGGGACCGAGCGGCTGCCGGGATAAGCAGCTAAGCCAGCTGGGCAGGGCAGGGCACTCTTGTCCTGGGGGCGAAAAATCGTCCCCGAAAGCGGATGTACTACCTAGTGTAGTCGAACGACATAGAATCAGGCAGGCAAGGGAGACC